GCCCTCCTCGCCACCGCCCGCGCCCGCCCGCAACCCCTGGACGGAGGACAGTGCCGGCCGCCCGGATCGGTGAGCGAGCGCCAGCCCCGCCACTCTCCCGCCTGCCTGGGCACTCTAGCCCAAGGGGCGATGGTTTGGGACCTGCCTTCTTTAGCCCACTCGCTCCACCTCCGCCCTCTGGGCACAGCCCGGGTTCCCTTCCCTAGCATCTGTCCTTTAGGGCTCCAACTCTGAGCCCAGCCCAGCCCAGATGGTTCCTTCTTCACTTGCGGACAGTTTCCTCTAGACTTTTGGTCTTGGTTGGACGTTTCCCCTTTCTGTGCCTGCTTCTGACTCCTGTCTTTTATCTTGCCTTTACCCTTTGGTCTCTTTCTGCCTGCTTCTGACTTCTTTCCAACACCCCTTGCCCGTCTCTATATTCTACCAGCCCTTTTGCTGCTTCATTCACACAGTGCCCCTGCCCAGGCTTTCCCCTCTCTCCCTGCCCCTCCTTCTGACCACAGGTCTCCCCCTCCCCGTGTTCTCCCTCTGTACCCCAGTTCCCACCCAGCACCTATTGTCCCAAATGCCCCTGGTTCCTGAAAAGGGATAAGAGTTTAGAGGAGAGAAACGGAAATGACAGAATGAACATGCTTGTCTAATATTTCCCAGAGGGGGTCAAGTAGTTACTGCTTCCCCCAGTTTTCCTCCCCAAGCCCAGAATCTCATGATTTTCTTCTCCTAACGTCCCTCTCTTCAAATAAAGGTTAATACATTGGTAATCACTCTGAACTGGAGGCCAGGAGACCAGAACGCTATTGCAGGATCTTCCTGTGCTGCCCTAGTAGCAGGGCAGAGGTTGGCCATGGGCAAGGTGCTCAGCACGCAGCCTGCCTTGTGTAGAAGAAATCAGCTGGCTAGCTGGTATGCACTGTCTGTTGTGCATTCAGATCTACAAATCTTGTTGGCAAAGCAAGGTGCTGCTTCCACCACCCACAATAAATACTTTGCATTTATGTCAGAATCAGGTAGGAAAATGCTATGACTTAACCTAAAGTTTGTAAGGGGTCACTGTTTACTCCGGAGACTTTTCTAGATGGAAAACGACTTGGCCTGAGAGAAATGATAGTCCCCTAACTCCTGTCTCTTTCTAAATCTTAATCGGTACTGAAAAAAAAAAAAGCCCTGGTATTTGTGCCCCTGCTCGAGGCACACAACCCCCATGCAATCCTAGGTCACAGAAAAAGACAGACCTGAAGATAGAGAACCAGGTAGGCCTTTTTGGTGGGGAAGTCTGGAAAGCACCTAGAATAGGAACATTTCTCAGGGTTACTTCTATGGCATCCTCCCCTTTGAAACCAGAAATTGAGACTTGATTTGGCTTTGCAAGGTTTTAAAACACTTTCTCATCTATGGTCTCAGCGAGTGGCGCAAAGTAGCTAACACCCCAGACCTGCCCTCCGAGAAGAAACCCTTACCCACCCGGATGAATGGGAAGTAACTGTTGCAATAGGTGTGCTATTTTTAATAGGTGTTCTGCTTTCAGAGTGCTCTTGGCTTGTGTCTTCTAATGGCTGTATTTAAAAGTTATATGACTTCCTCTTCTCTTGCCAGAGCAGGACTCTTGGTCCCCCCTCTCCCCACCCTCTACATGAAACACTACTGGTGAAGGTTTGCCTTGGCCAAGCATGAATGTTCTCAGGTGGTGTGGCAGTCCTTGGCTTTCACAGTGAAAGCTAGTCATAAAGAGAGCCTGCCTTCATTGCCCACTTCCTCTGTGCCTGGCACCACTCTGAGGGCTTCAGATATGTGTGTTCTGTTTCTCAAGCCTGCCAATAACTTCCATTCTCACCCCCATTTTACAGAAGAGGAAACTGAGTCTGTGGGAAGCGAAATGATGTCCTCTGCCAATTATTCGATTAAGATAGTATTTGAATGTGGAGCTTTTAGCTCGCAAAGCCCTTGCCAGTGGGCCTCTGCCTTCTGGCCCCATCTACCCTTGCCACCTCTCTGTGCCAAGCCTGGCTCTGCGCTTGCTCCCCTTGGCCTCACTGATCTGCCTCTCCTCTCTCCTTGTAGCAGAGGGACATGAACTCCTTCCTATGGACTATTCGGCGCCATCCCCCAGCCTATTTGTTTGGCACCATTCACGTTCCATATACCCGAGTCTGGGACTTCATCCCTGAGAATTCCAAAGCAGCCTTCCAGGCCAGCACCCGCGTCTACTTTGAGCTGGATCTGACAGATCCCTACACCATCTCAGCCCTGGCCAGCTGCCAGCTGCTGCCCCATGGGGAGAACCTGCAGGACGTGCTGCCAAGAGAGCTCTACTGGCGCCTGAAGCGCCACCTGGACTACGTGAAGCTGATGATGCCCTCATGGATGACACCAGCCCAGCGCGGCAAAGGGCTGTATGCTGACTACCTATTCAATGCCATTGCTGGCAACTGGGAGCGCAAGAGGCCGGTGTGGGTGATGCTCATGGTGAACTCGCTCACGGAGACGGACGTGCGCTCCCGAGGCGTGCCTGTGCTGGACCTCTACCTGGCCCAGCAGGCGGAGAAGATGAAGAAGAGCACTGGGGCTGTGGAGCGGGTTGAAGAGCAGTGCCATCCTCTCAATGGGCTCAACTTCTCCCAGGTAGGAACACCCACATGCCAGCCTAGCCAGCAGCCCCAGCCCCACAGTATCTTGGTCCTGGTCTCTGATCTTTGTCATGCTCCAGCAGAGAACCAGAGCCAGGTCCCATCCCCCTACCCCCACCTCTCCGCTTTCTGCCCCAAGCAAAAGCATCTCTCTGGCTCTGGGACAGCACTGGGCTGCTTTGTTGGGGTCAGGGGAAACTACTACGTGCCAAAGTTTGGGTGTTTCTTTCCATTCCAGTGGTTCCCTGTTGGGGATATCCACTCTCCACCTGCTGTGCTTGCCTGAGCAGAAAGAATTTCCCCGGGAGCATCAGAGTGATACAAAACAGAAAGAGGGAGATGCCCATTTGCAGGAGGCTTCCCCAGGACCCTGGGGACTTGGAACTCAGGGCTGTCCTGAGCTTGTTTGGACACTCACCTCTGAGTGTGTCTGTATAGAAACAGCACAGACGTAGAGGGCATGGTGCCTAGGCTGTGCTGGCAGGGAAGGCATTGTGGGCATGGCCTCCACCAGCACAGGTCTGCTGGTTACTGCCAAGTTCTTCACAGTTCCCCGGGGCCTTTGCTGAGGTCTGCTACTCTGGAGCTGCCTCCTTAAGACTGGGGGAGCATCCAGTGGGCAAAGGAGAGTTTGGGGGGTAATAATTTCATAGAAGTGTGTTTGCTTAAGATCGACAGTTCTAATTTCTGAACCTAGGGAGTAGGGGAGAAGGGAGGGGCTTAAGAGCTTTAAAGTATCTGGCTGTCAGAGACCTGATCCAGCAAACCGTCTTTAACCGCCTGTCTCTATGGACAGAGGTCATTCGCAACTCACTGGTCCCAAACTCAATTCTGAGGCCCTGGGAACAATAAGTTCACATCTGTTCCTGGAGAACAGAGCTGCCTACTCAGGATGGGAACTCCTGACTTGTAGATGCTACAAGGAGGCACCAGTATAGGGTCTGGGTTGATGCCCTAAGTGAAATGTGGCCTCAAAGGCGTGTGTGCTCATCATTAAGGAAAGGAGATAGACTCATAAAATGACTAGATCCCAGACTCTATCCCTGGGATCAGACCCAATTGCTCCAGAGATGTTGCAAGCTCCTCACCAGGGAAACGGCTGCTGAAGCTGATCCCCCTTCCGAGATCTCTGGCCTTTGTTTTTCCAGGGGAAATGCAATATTGTCCCCAGGGAGGTAAGAAGCCAGATTGATTTGCCGGCCAAATGAAAGGCGGGTTTGTGAGTTCTCCTGCTGGCTCTCCCATAATTGTGGAGTCCTTACCCAGAGGGCCCGGTGGCAGGAATATTGGGGCAGTTAGTCACGCCCCGCAGGGTTCTGACTATGCCTGCCTCCATCTCCACGGGGAAAATCCTGTGTATTCTCTGCCCCAGCGCGGAGCCCTCTGAACAGAGCGGCTCTCCTCTTCTGAAGTGATTTTCCCCTTGCCAGCCCCGTGAGCTGATATTATCAGTGGTCCAGGGGCCCCCAGCACTCACCGCCCGCCCATCTCATTTTGGAGGCAGTTTTGTGGGCGGCCTCTCTGCCCATATTCCTCATGTCTAGCCGCCATAGATATCTATTTTAGATTTGGGAGGTGGGGGGGATCCACTATCATGCTTGACATCCTTTTTGTACCAACCAGAGAGGAACCTGACAAGGGCTGAAGGGAGCCCTGGAGTTCTCTGGTTAAACAGTCCCTGGCTTTAATCTGTCTCTCTTAAAACAACAAAACTATCTTTCTTCGGGAGTCTGGAAACACTGCTGTTCAACCAAATGACGGCTCTGGTGGGTTGAAAACATTTGCTGCAGAGTGTGCGAGCTTATGTTTTAGGAAAAGTTACTGCGAGCCGTTCATCGGCCAGCAAGGAGCCCGCTGACAGTCTCCAAAGCCCATGTTTGAAGATCAAACAGACTCCAGTTTCTGTTGCAAAAACACTCCCACCCCACCACCAGCCTGGGCCCGCTCTTCAAATTGTTCTTGGGTCCAGCTTCTTGAAAGGGCTGTAGAAAACAAGGCTCAGGCAAAAGCAAACAGGAGTCCTCTCGTTTCCTAATCTGCACACCCTTCACCACCTGCCTGAGAGCCTGCCGGCACCAATTTGTCCTGATAGCATTTTGGAGGGAGGTGATGAAACCGCTCCTTCATCCTTCTGGGCGGCAGCAGGCTGACTGGAAAAAGTAGCAATCCAGAACCTGGGCAGAGGTCAGTCGGGACCCTCAACCTGACAATCAGAAATGCAACTGCTTTCTCAGGAAAGTGGTGTGCATACATGCGTGCCCAGTTTGATAGGAACATCTGTGATGTGTTATTGTACTGAAATATCAGTTAGTGCATTAGGGCTTTTTCTTTCCTCGAAGCAGTACCATTATTGCAGAATCGGGGGTGGGCAGTGAGCGAGGAAGATGAGGAAAAGGCTTAGAAGACTAAGTTTTTTGATGCTAAGGCTGGAGATTTTTTTTTTTTAGTTTTAATTTTAATGTTTTGAAGTATTTTATGTATGGGTTTTTTCTTGGTTAAAATATGTATTTTTGCTTGCTCAGTAGAGAAAGATTCTTTAAATTGGACTTGTGGAGGACAGAGGGAGCCTGAAGCCGATAACTGCTCAGCTTGCAGGAAGAGCAAGCAGGTCTCATGACAGGTTTCGAACTTTGATTTCAAAAATAAACTCAAGGTGCTAGATTCAGTATCACCAAGGTTTTACAAATGACCTTGGGCAAGTCAGTTCCTTCCCTTGTGCTCAGTTCACTCTGCCTGTGAAATCAGACACCAGGATTAGGTCATCTTTAGAGCCCCTTCCAGCCCTGACATTCCATAGGACCATTCTAATCAGTTGCAGGTGCCAGGCACCCAGCAGGAAGCTCCACGTGCTTTTCCATTTCACCGAATTCTCCTTGTAACCCTTTGGCTTTCTAAGGTGGGCACCAAGAACGGTTGAATGACTTGCCCAAGGCCACATGGCTAATAAGGAACAGAGCCAGTCCGTGGGGACGCCAAATGACTGAAGAACTTCCTATATGTAGTTTCTGTGCTTGGCAGGGAGTCATGGGCTCCAGGGCAGGGGAAAAAGAGAGCTACATGAGAAGTGGGCATACCCTTTGCCAGCAGCCATATCCACTGCCCAACCCCTGCTGAACAAAGCCAAACTGGGCTATGGTAGGGGTGGTGGAGAGCCAGGCCTGTTGGCACAGCCCCATAATCACAGCTCTTCAGGAAGCTGACGCAAGAGATCACAAGTTCAAGCCTGGGCTGCAGACTGAGGTCAGAGTCTGCCCCGGCAACTTAGTGAGACCCTGTCTCAAAGTGCAAAAGTAAAAAGAGGGTTAGGGATATATAACTCAGTGGTAGGAACTTACTGCACACGAGTACTTAGGTGCTGGGTTCAACCCCTGGTGCTGCAGAACATGTGATGGTGGGGAGCCTGGGATGCTTAATCCTTTAGGCCAGGTCTTATAGTAGTCTTAGAACCTGGAGGTCCTTAACAGCTCTGCTTGCTGCTTCCAGGGACTGGTACTGGCTTCCACTACTCCCTCTGGGGCAGCTGGTCTCAACCTGTGGGTTGCAACCTCTTGACAAACGTCTATCTCCAAAAAAATCATACATCACAGTAGCAGAATTACAGTTATGAAGTAGCAAAGAAAATAATGTTTTGGTTGGGGTCACCACGACATGAGGAACTGCATTAAAGGGTCGCAGCATTAGGAAATTTGAGAACCGCTGCAGGACTCTCAGTCCTTCCTACTTCTGCCCATGCCCTCTATATGGGGAGAACCCTTGAGTTAGATGGTCTTTCCAGGCTTGGTAAGAGAACAAGGTTCATGCTGCGCTGCCCACTGCTGGGCTTTACCAGCATGCACTGTTGCTCTCCAGCATCCAAGAGCCAGCACTCTGGAGCATATCTGCTGAAAGTGCACAACATGTTCATGAAATTCTTCAGTCTCTTCCTCCAGGGGTTAGGAATCATAGAATCAAATGCTGCGCTCCCTTTTTGTGTTGGGTGTCACAGAACCTCAAAGGATATTAACGCTAGTCCCCAGGGAAGTGCCAAAAACTTTCTTGTCATATCTGTTGTAAATTGAGACTTGAAAAAGTTGGATCTTTGGCTATGGTTGCGTAGACAGGCCCAGTGGACTCAGGAATGTTCATTGCTAAAACCCATGTTCTTGAGGTATCTAAAAAGTGGATTGATTTTGTTTTTTTCATAGTTCATGACATTATATGGTGAAATTGTATCTATGGAATGTGTATGTGTGTGTACATGAATAAGTGTATGTGTGGGCATATCATTATTGATAATGTAAACTATAAAATACAAAAAGAAATATAATTTAAAAGTACTGAAACTTCTTTCTCTGGATTATGAATTGAATCTTAAGGTAATTCTAAAAGAGGAGTCCCCAAAGACATTCTGGGTACCATCTCCCTGGAATTCATCACCAATTTACCACAGAACTATTGTGAAGCTAGCCCCCAACTGAGGCTAAGCCTACACAGCTGAATACAGAAAGGTCTTCTGCGTTTACATATAGCCATATACTAATCTGCGTCTGGTTCATCAATAGGTAGGAAGTGCCTTATAAATATTTGCAGAGTAATGGATGATGAATGACTAATGGTCTGCACCCATGATGCGCATCCTTTACCCCTTCTGTGACCCAGCATGGTGGAGAAAATGAATGGCTGAAGGAAGGTTGCATAAACCGCAGCAAAGGGTCTCCTCTCATAAACTTTAACTGCTGCGTTGCTTCCTATAGGGACACCAAATCAAGTGGGTTGTTTTCATCCCTCTGAGATACTATGGCAAGGCACCTTATGCTGAGACATTTGTAAACATTGTCCATGATTCTGGAGGCTGTGACGGTAAAGATCAAGGTACCAGAAGATTCAGTATGTGGTGAAGGCTCATTCTTCATACATGGAACTTCTCTGAATCCTAACATGGTGGGTGACAAGGGATGAGAGAGAATAGTGACTTCCCTCAGCAATTCACAAGACTCTGTCATTACAAACCAGTCT